GATCAATATTCCACATTTCACAATAATTGATTTACGACCCATCAAATGTGTTTTTTTTTACCGGTGAGAATGGTACCGGAGTGGTGCTTAGGGTCGTGGTTGGAAATATTAATGTGGGTGCTTTTTGTCGGCGAGGAAACACGAGACGATCAAGTTTCAGAGGATAAAGAGCAGCTTTGGTTGGTATTTTGTTTGTGGCTTCGTGTTAGACTGCCCGGTTGGGCAGGATGCCTGCCCAACCGGAGCAGGTCACAACTGGTGGTGACCTGGTTGGGCAGGATGCCTGCCCAACCGGGGTAGGTCACAACTGGTGGTGACCTGGTTGGGCAGGATGCCTGCCCAACCGGGGTAGGTCACAACTGGTGGTGACCTGGTTGGGCAGGATGCCTGCCCAACCGGGGTAGGTCACAACTGGTGGTGACCTGGTTGGGCAGGATGCCTGCCCAACCGGGGTAGGTCACAACTGGTGGTGACCTGGTTGGGCAGGATGCCTGCCCAACCGGGGTAGGTCACTACTGGTGGTGACCTGGTTGGGCAGGATGCCTGCCCAACCGGGGTAGGTCACAACTGGTGGTGACCTGGTTGGGCAGGATGCCTGCCCAACCGGGGTAGGTCACAACTGGTGGTGACCTGGTTGGGCAGGATGCCTGCCCAACCGGGGTAGGTCACAACTGGTGGTGACCTGGTTGGGCAGGATGCCTGCCCAACCGGGGTAGGTCACAACTGGTGGTGACCTGGCTGGGCAGAATGCCTGCCCAACATACAGGTGAATACACAGGCAGCTGAGGAGCAGGGGGCCAGATTCACGAAGCAGTTACGCAAGTACTTGCGAACCTGTCTATCTTTTTTCAATCTTTAGCGGCTTTGTTTACTATTATTAAACAGTTAATGAGCTCCGAAGCACCAGCAGGCTGTTTATAACAATAGCAACAGTTGATTGAGAAGTTTAAATGCTTGTAAACTGTTTAATAAATGTAACCAAAGCCGGCAAAGATTGAGGAAAGATGTACACTTTCGTAAGTACTTGCGTAACTGCTTCGTGAATCTGGCCCCAGGTTTGGTAGGGAGCAGGTGCTGTGGCCGGCAGGTGAGCAGGTCAGCTGAAGGTAGGAATGGTAGTGAGCAGATTGGTAGCTTGTGATCAAGTAGGTAGGTCAGCTGGGCAGGGTAGGTAGGTCAGCTGGGCAGGGTAGGTAGGTCAGCTGGGCAGGGTAGGTAGGTCAGCTGGGCAGGGTAGGTAGGTCAGCTGGGCAGGGTAGGTAGGTCAGCTGGGCAGGGTAGGTAGGTCAGCTGGGCAGGGTAGGTAGGTCAGCTGGGCAGGGTAGGTTGGTCAGCTGGGCAGGGTAGGTTGGTCAGCTGGGCAGGGTAGGTAGGTCAGCTGAGCAGGGTAGGTAGGTCAGCTGGGCAGGGTAGGTAGGTCAGCTGGGCAGGGTAGGTAGGTCAGCTGGGCAGGGTAGGTAGGTCAGCTGGGCAGGGTAGGTAGGTCAGCTGAGCAGGGTAGGTAGGTCAGCTGGGCAGGGTAGGTAGGTCAGCTGGGCAGGGTAGGTAGGTCAGGATGTCGCCAGAGGTAACGAGTGAACATAAGAGACTGACCTCAAAATAAATAAAGATAAATCAGGTCTAAATGTAAATGCAAGAAATGTAAAGACTGACAATTCAGGGAGTATAAGAAGAGCTTTTGTATAGCGAGTGACGACTACTGCTGTGTCATGCACTAATGCCAGCCAGGAGCACTTGGCCCGCATGACCCGTCATGACCTGTGAGTGGACGCACGTCACCCTCATGTCACCTCATGTGTGGCTACCTCACCTCACCAAACACCTCACCTCATCAACATGACAAGAGGTATATACTCGCTCTGTCTTGACTGACACGTCACAGCCCCGGTCCTGTGCCAGGTAAGTCCACTACGGGCTCACCATAGTCCGTGCTACTTGGAACTTATTGTATCCAGTAGCTGAATCTTAAACAACAACAGCGCCTGACACGTGGAGGCATCTCCCTCGTTCATGGAGTTCATGACCACTTCACCTTTTCTAGTTGTTAATATATAACCACAAAATGCTTTCACATTTGTTTGAAACTTAATACAAATATTTTTCTCAAAAATGAAGCTTCCTAATAAATCAAATTGAACAGTTTCGAGCCGTGGTTCGAGACCAGCGGGGGTGTCCCTCAGGGTACTCACACCTTCGCCGGTATTACAACAAAAATACTATGAACTTGCAACATGTGTTTTTAATCGCAGATGATATGCAAGATCGTTTAGGTTAATAGTGCAGATGTAAAGCTTCGTGTTATAGTTACCTTCTGACATCAAGGTTTTTTTTATCATAATTTAAATATTAAGATATTCAATTCAAACCTGGCGGGAGGGTGCCGTAGGTTTGTTAAATACTGTGAAGTATCCCTTTGCTGTCACGTAGCTAGCTTTTTGACACCCTGTACTCCCCTTCATATAGTCTAGGGCAGCTGCGTGAACGCAGATGTACCTAATGT